CCCCAAAACCCCAAAACCCCAAAACCCCAAAACCCCAAAACCCCTGTAACAACAAAATACTTGAAATTTTAAAATCTGCAAATTATCTTCTACCTCCTTTTCTGGCGCTGCTTCTAGCAGAGGATTTTCTAGTAGATGGCTTCTTGGCGGTAGCCTTTTTCTTTGGGGCGGATTTCTTGGTGGTCTTCTTAGTGGCTGACTTCTTGGTGGCTGACTTCTTAGTGGCAGACTTCTTGGCTGGAGCCTTCTTGGTGGTCTTCTTGGAGGTGGACCTCTTTGGGGCAGACTTCTTGGTGGTCTTAGTTACCTTCTTGGCGCTTCTCTTAGTTGGAGTTTTCTTAGCGGCCTTCTTAGTTGGGGTCTTCTTTGGAGTAGCCTTCTTGGATGGAGCTCTCTTGGTGGCGGCCTTCTTGGTCTTGGCAGCAGACTTGGCCTTAGAGGTGGCGGCTCTCTTGGTCTTCTTGACGACCTTGCTTGCTTTTCTGGTGGCGGCCTTCTTTTTGGTGGCTGGAGATCTTCTAGTTACGGCTCTGGCTATGAAAAGTTTTAGTTTAATGAAATTTGAATGGTCATTTCATCGAAATTTTTCAAAGTAATCGGACTCTTTCATCAAGAGTAAAACTGAGGAATGATTGGAATAACCACTTAGTGGGTCCGACCATCTCAGGGCTTACTGCTAATCAAGTCCTTAGTAAACTTTGATGATTAGGAGTCGGCAAATTTGAGAAATTGTCTTACCTGGCATTCTGTTTAAATTTTTTATTATTAAATTTTTCTCTTTTTGACACATTTATATACTTTGCACAGTTCATACTTAATTTAATTATCTCAAATTTAGGATAATAGAACGAGATATAGAAATAAGAGAGGGAGTAGTAGGACCTCGCTAATGTACAACGAACCCATCCCCTACGCATGGGCATACTATGCCATAATGTCTTGGGTCTCCCCCGACGTACTGCAAGTGAGACTAAGTAAATTCTGAAGCTTTTAAATTTGAGCAATGGAATCATAGCCACCAAGACCAAATATCTCGCAAGCGAGGGGACGAGGGAATCAAGATCATTCGCATTCTGGGTATGGACGATGGTTCACTATCTAAGGGGTACAGATCACTTCTTTAAACACTCTTAGTCGTTCGCAGTCGACTCCATTAGTCTGCATTGTAGAAATTTATAATCCTCATAAAGTTATTTTGTTTTGAGCAAATCGGAAAAATCTCATCTTGGCCAAACGAGATCCTAGATTTACTCTCAATTAGAGAGTACTTTCCGGGGTTTTGGGGTTTTGGGGTTTTGGGGTTTTGGGGTTTTGGGG